TTAGGAGCTTGACAAAAGAGCTTGTAAAAATAGGGGTCAGAGTGTTTATGTTGACTCCAAATTGCCTCTTTTACACAACATATTGCTCAGTTTTCATTTAATACAAATATGTCTCCTACTCATTTCTTGAAGCCTCCATCAGTTGAGAACCAGAGTGAGAAAGATAAGTAGATACACATACTGTATTGCAACTCACCCAGTCAAAAAGGAACAAAGTCTCACACTGAGTACATTTATGTGTAATTTCCTTGACCAGAATGTGTTCTATTCCCTTGAAACTAGTTTAATGCACAAAAGCACAGTGCAACAAGCAGAGCCAACAGTCAGAGGATCACCTCTTTCCATACAGAACATGGCGCAGAGGATCTTCCATTCCTTTATCAGTGCCATTGGCAGCTGTCAGTTTAAGAGCACATTGAAGTGATGCGGAAATTGGTGTACTTTTTTTTTTCCCATAGGAAGTGGCCAAAAATAAATGGCTTTCCTGAGAAAGTTAAAAAATTAATCTTATTTTCCAGGCACACAAAATGAGGTTAAAATTGTATTATTAAAGTCACTCTGCAAGTTCAGGCAATCACTTGCCTTACTTCAAAACAAGAACTGCCGCTATGTGCTGTCTCCACAGTGTCAACATCTTAATGGCCCCGCAAAATCGCACTTGAGACGTGTTTCTTAGTCTGAAACAAGTGCTTTATCCGTAACAGTACAATAGCTACTTAAGCCCTTCTACTATTTTTAACATCTGAACCCAGTAATAAAAAAGCCACAATTTCAGGTTGGAAAGAAAATTAAAGGTGGTGAAATTGTAGAACCCTTGCCTCCCATGTGAGTGATAAGCTTCTGCCAAAGGGAAGCTGATATAAAAAATTTATGAGAATCTGTCAGAAATCCAAAATATGGTCTTTTCTGCATTATCTGTTATATTCATATTTCTTGCGGTGTTTATTTGGATGTCTCTTCAGAGAGCTCCGTACTTACACCTTCTCTTGTGAACTCTGCCAAGTGCCAGGTAAAGGAGTCAGCAGCGATTTCTTGAGTGCATCTGTTATTCAGAATCTCATCATATTTTAAAACCGCTGAGGGCAATGAAACTATGCTGATACAGCAAAGAATTTTAAAAATTGTGCCAGTTCAAATTAAACTTCTGCAAGATTATTCTGCTTACAGTAGGAATTGGGATATAACAAGAAGACTGAATGGAAGTTCACAATGTTAATTACAAGTTTTCTCTGGAAAAAAAAACTTTCTTGAAGGGATATTAATAATAATTGGTTTGTGGAAATTCCCGCCGGAGCTAGAGAGAAGAGTGCCACCTACTTGTCCACCTTCGTTTCTTACAGCAGTAACCTGGTTTTCCTTAGATGTGTCTCTGCCTTGCTTAGCTTTTGAGATCTAACAAAATGAGGCAACAAGGACAAAAATATAAAAAACAGCTGTTAACAAGTTTTTAAGTGTAGAAGTTAAAATTAGGAATATGTACATACTGTCAGCGCATGCTTTTGAAATTGTTTTAGTTAGAATTGCAAATTATGTTAGATGACCCATCCAGTTTGGAATCACCAATTGTGCCATCACAATCTTGGCTCCCTGCAGCAGCTCCCATGTGGGGATAATGAAGAAGAGCAGGCAGGCACTTCTAACTCATAGTGATGTTCATCTTCTGTCACAGTGTATGCAACAGTGTGTCTAACAGGAGGTTCAGTGCCTTTTCACGGAGTGGCACAGCAAATCTGCCGCAAAAACGTACTATCTAAATCTGCCTATAATAAAACAACTAAAGAGCAATAAAAATAAAACCTTTTGTTTTTTTGAGTGTTTTGACATTGCAAATCAATTGTACCTGTAAATACAATGACCAGACTACAGATCTGTATTTTTGCTAGACTTGAGAAATGCCATGACACCAAATATTGGGGTAATTTACTGGCATAAATACTAAAACATTTTAAAAATGCAACACAATTTATCCAAAAATACAAAATGATGTGAAGCTACCCATTTATTATTATTATAAGGTTATAAGGTTTTTACTTTTATCTTTTTATTCAGTGCTCTTTGCACAGCTTTCAGGTTCAATAAGGAGTTCAATAGACATGAACTCAGAAAATTCTTACTTAGCAAAGAGATAAGGGCTTGAACTACAGTAGATCTTCAGTAGGATGGTTAAAAGGAAAAGGTGGATCCTTTTTAGAAAGACTTTTAGTATTACAGTATTTTGAGAGGTGGCATGATAGGCTTATAAATAATAATAATAAATAATGCGAGAGCTCCTTGTTATATGCTGAGTAAGGTATTATGAAAGATGTGACAATACATACATGGTGAGAAAAACACGCTTGTAACCTTGGGTGTGCCAGTGTGCTGTGTGCAAGTATAAAAGGAACACTTGGGCTGGGAGTATGAATGTGATGGTTCAGCGAAAGAGAGAAGACAAGGACTCTGGGAAATGACTCGAACCACAGTGAAGCACCATGACAGCACTCTTAAGGAAATTTAGGGCCCTTGCATATTCAGTAGCCTCCAGCAACCAAATCAACTGAAACGAAGCCCTCCTGGTCGCTGCATCCTTGCTCAACTATGCGTAACAGCTAAGTGGGGTCTGTCCTGTGACTTCTGCACAGAAAGTGCTGCATACAATAACACAGCTGAGCAATATGAGAGATCCTTGAGATTGAGAACATCATCCAAAGACTCAAAATTGTTGGTGTCCAAGACAGACACCCCTAAAATATTAATATGATGTGAAGAAGGCTCCACAGCTGAAAACCTTTTGCGTTCATTCTTTGTACTTTATGTGTAGAGTTATCCTCTGCTATTCCCTTTATTTAAATTGAATAAATATATTGCGATATTTCTGTCAGAAACCTGTCAACAAATGATTAAGAAATTGTAGACAAAACCAATGGAATAATTCTAGTATTATCCTGTATAATCTATATCAAGCATTGTTTCTTTCGGTGTGTTATTTACATAAACTCTATTTTTCTTAGACCTATACAAGGATTGTGAAAAATCGTGACACAGTGAAGGACTTTGTTGTGGATTTCACGCATAGGAAATTGCCGTTTTACCCAAACCAAAATAAGTATCCTGTCAAAAATGAAATGGTTCTTTATATTGGGTTAATTTACTGGGAATAAACTGTCTCCTTCATGCACAGTATTTCTATTCATTTTTTATTACTGCCATGTTTTCAGCCATAGAGTATAAAGAACAGAAAACTGAAGCATGTGATCACAAATAACCTGTTTTGCTTATAAATTTACAGATTATAATTTTTCTCAGATGAGTGAATAAAAAAGAGAGAAAATAGTTACACATTCTTAACCTGTCAGAATGTTTAACATACAGTATGGGTATTAAGAGTGAACGTACAGTAGGATTTAATTTGTCTTCTGTTACTATCTTATCAAATTACTGTTTTTGTGTAATGTTGAAGGGAATTGACAAATCTTTTTTATCAGGTCAGACCTGTTTTGAAGCTGCTCTGTGCTAAATGTTGCCTAAGGTAGTGGGAAGAAACAATTAGTATGAAGAAGTGGTAAATGTAGCCGTAGTGACAGTAGTTAGATTATAGTTAAGAAGAATGTTAATGTGAAGTGTGCCAGAGGGAGTTGCTGTAAGAACCCTTTCCCTTCTAACCGAATCTGTCCCATTCTCCTGTGCTCTTGGATATTAAGTCAACTCAAACAGGTTATTTGCATTAAAAGTGAATGTAAAGTCCAAAATCCATTAAGGTATAGGAAATGTGCCTAAACTTAGTGTCTGAAGCATTATATGTCTTTTCAGAAGAGAAACCTCTGGATTATCAGAGCAGCAAGAAACAGTTCTTTTCCTGTGAGATGGTTTTTATTATTTCAAACTTTTTAAAAAATGGGAGAGAAATGCTAGAACAAACGTTTCAGCCATAAGTACTGCCCTTTTCCAAGTCGCCATCCATGGAACCCTCTGAACAAGAGTTAGACAGCAATATCAGAACTGTGTAGGAATGATCTGACCATCTCACTGCACTGCACACCACCAACACACCTCCTCCCACAGCAGCTGTTCTGGCAGTAAGAAGCACATGAAATAACTCTGGATGTTCACTGAGTTATAACATTTTTATTTTTATACATTACTTTTATTTTTTTAAACTGTTTATAACACATTTAAGATAGGGTGCGAATTCCACAGAAAAAATAGCCACTGCATGGTTTTAATGCAGCTACAGAGGTCCGTGTGCTTCTTTAAGAATTGATCTCTCTGTTCATGTAATGAAATGGTCTGTTCAACTCTGGAACCCTATTTGTTCCAAGCAGTTAACTTCTAAAGAGCTCTGGATTTGGGACAGTGGGAACAAGCCGTGGTATTCATATCTTTCAGTATGGAGGGTCATTCGGATTAATTTAAAGTTTTGTCCTCTAAAACGGATGGTGTGTATCGTCTTCTCTTTTTTATTTCTTTCTGGTTTCAAATTTTGTCATGTGTTTTCTACCAGTCATCTGTTTTCAGTTCTGCTCAGATTTTTCTTTGACATTTCAAATAAGCATTCCAGCTAAAGCAGATTGTGGATGGATTCCTAGTGTCTGTGTGCAAAGTAATTGCACACACTTCACTGCTTTTCCTTGGGAATTCAGAGGATTAGACTTCTCCTTCACTTCCTTTCCGGAGTCTTTCCATAAGATGCTTTTCCTAGAATTTTCAGCACAGCTGAGCCAAATCATCATCAGAAAAGTAAAAATGATGATGCACTAAAAGAAATGGAATGATATACAAACAACATAAAGTCTACTCATTCAAGCCTAAGTCTAAGTGAAGTAAAAAACAATGTACAGTATTTATTAACTGTTTACCATACTTTTTATAGCAACTATTGATGTATGCTTTGTTATATCTGGAAAACATAATAAAAAAATAATTTCTTCCCTAAAAACAGGCCTTTTTATAACTTAGCTTTTACTCTTCTGTTTTTTTCTAAGTAACCCATTCCCTATTCCATGTGTCTTGCTTTGGTGCAGGCAGAGAAAAGGGCCAAACTTGTGGCTGTGATGAACGCAATGGAGGAACCTGCCGGGAACGAGGCACAGAAGGAGGAGGAGGAGGTGGTCGTCAACCAGCTCCCTCCCCAACAGCACACAGACCCGGCCTCCCCCACTGTGGCCACCACCCCCGAGCCTGTCTCCGCGGAAACTGTCGACAAATCCATCCCCAAGTCAACAGATGTGGAACCCGAATACGAGGTGAAATACTCCTATTTCTGGGGAAGGGCACCGAACACCAGACATACTATATTTTAGAAGAATTTTCTAAACTATTTTCTATAGCAGAATATTGGATCCGTTTTATTAAAATTATGCTGTATTCAGAAAACTGTTTACTGTGGAGTACTTTAATTTGATGTACTTACTGTACTAATAAGGATCATGGGAAACAGTTTCATAGACAAAGGCAACAGACGATGAACACCTCTATGTCTGCACGTTAGCCAGCATGGACATAGATGGTGGCCATTTTAAGCTGACTGTAACACCCCGTGGTGTACTCTGCTGTCCAACTTATAGTTGCTGCACTATTCACAATCATCGCCATATAGATGTTCGAATAGGCTAGCTATTTACAAAACTGCCTCTTATACAGTATGTGTCAACAGTTTAAACCCCAAAATCGCTTAATTTGTTTAGCTTCTTTTTGAGTCTAAGTAGTATGTTTGCAAATTTATTTTTGAGAATAGGGTTTTAAAAGAACCATCAATATGATGGAAAATGGTTTAAAATAACCTTTGACAAGTATTTTAATATAGAGTATGTGTTCTTTGCCATTTTGCTTAAATGAGAACATAAAAGTAATCAATTCCAGCATAGGTCATACTGTACTGAATTGGTTCTTTATGTGCTTTCGTGCTCAGCTGATCTGCCACATACCAAACAGGCTAAAAAGCCTATAATATTGGTTAAAGTATTATCAAAAAATTAACTACTAATACTAACTACTAATTTTCAGTTAAAGAGAAAAAATTGAGTGCTTCAAGCGTGCTGTATGTATCTAGCTTAACATTAAGGATGCACAGTAGAATTTTGTTTTTATTGTTGATATGGATAACATAGTCAATAGTATTTTCTGAAGGGTTTCTTCTTAGATACAAATGAGAGGAGCCACTCAAACCATCTAGGCTGCTTGATAGCTGGTAGTTAATTAAGCCAAGGATTCCACACAGCCTTTCTTGAAAAAAGCCAGGGTATCAGCTTTGGCTAGGTACGCTGTAGCTTGTTTAATACTCCCAAGTTACAGTTCCCATTTTGTATGTTCTTTACTGTGTGTTCAACCAGTTGAACGCATTACAAACCTTCTCTACCTGTTAATAAGTTAGGACACATGATATAGTCATTGGGATTTTGGCTGATCACGCTAAGCTATTTTTTGTGAGAAAATGAGAAAGTTACAACAGACTTAGTGTAAGGTGCGAACCATTTCTAGAAGCTGTTAGAATAATAGAATTTTAAAAATGTGACTGACCTAAATGGATTTTTGTCAGATTGTGACAAATTTGAATTCTTGTGCATAGTTCATTATTAATTCTGCCATTCATTTTAGAAAATCAAGGAACCGAACATTGTGCTTTAAGTGCCTTGTATCAAGCGATGATTCACTAGGAGAAATTATGTTGATTTGATTCCTCTGAGCTTATTGACTTTTTAGAAATACAGTGCAGTCCATAAGTATTTGGACAGTGAAATAATTTTTGTTGGATTGGCTCTGTATTTGAACACATTGGATTTGAAATGAAACATGACTATGAGGTTAAGGTGCAGAATGTCAGCTTTAATTTGAGGGTATTTATGTCTCTATTGGGTGAACCATATAGGAATCACAGCCCTTTTTATACATAGTCCTCCCATTTTAAGGGACCAAAAGTAATTGGACAGTTGGCCACTCAGTTGTTTCTTGGCCAGCTGTGTGTCATTGCATTGTGAGCTCATGCACAAGAGAGCTAACAAAAGGTCTAGAGTTGATTCTAAATGTGGCATTTGCATCTGTAGTCTGTTGCTGTTGTCTCTCAACATGAGGACCAAAGAAGGGGCAATGACAGTAAAGCAGGCCTTCATGAGGCTGAAAAATCAGAATAAATCAATCAGAAACATAGCCAAAACATTAGGTGTGTCAAACTGTTTGGTACATTGTTAAGAAGCAAGAACGCACTGGTGAGCTTAGAAATAGCAAACGATCTGGGAGACCATGGAAGACCACAGTAGTGGATGAGCAAAGAATACTTTCAATCATGAAGAAAAAATCCTTTTCAACTGTTGGAACAGATCAGGAACACTCTCCAGGATGTAGGCATAGATGTGTCAAAGACTACCATAAAGAGAAGAATACACTAGCATAACCTCAGAGGGCTCACCACGAGATGCAAACCACTGGTAAGCCTCAAAAACACAAAGGCCAGGTTACAGTTTGCTAAAAAGTACATAAAAAAGTCTGTAGAGTTCTGGAATAAAGTCTTATGGACAGATGAGATGAAGATTAACCTGTACCAGAGTGACGGAAAGAGGAAAGTGTGGAGAAAAAAAGGAACTGCTCATGATCCAAAGCATACCACTCATCTGTGAAACATGGTGAGGTAGTGTCATGGCTTGGGCATGTATGGCTGCCAGTGGAACTGGCTCACTTGTCTTTATTGATGACGTGACTGCAGACGGCAGCAGCAGGATGAATCCTAAGTATCTTATCTGCTCAGATCCAGCCAAATGCCTCAAAACTCATTGGACGGCACTTCACCTTGCAGCAGGACAATGACCCCCAAACATACTGCTAAAGCAACTATGGAGTTTTTCAGGGCCAAAAAGTGGAATGTCCTTGACTAGCCAAGTCAATCACCCGACCTGAATCCCATTGAGCATGAATTTCACTTACTGAAGACAAGACTGAAGACATAAAGCCCTCGAAACAAGCAGGAACTGAAAATGGCTGCATTACAGGCCTGGCAGAGCATCACCAGGGAATATGATGTCTATGGACCGCAGACTTCAGGCAGTCATCAGTTGCAAAGGATCTTGTGTTTAAGGTTATGTTAATGTGTCCAATTACTTTTCGTCCCTTATAATGGGGGGACTATGTATAAAAAGGGCTGTGCTTCTTATATGGTTCACCCAATATAGACATAAATACCCTCGAATTACAGCTGACATTCTGCACTTTAACCTCATAGTCATTGTTTCATTGTTTCATTTAAAACCAATGTGCTGGAGTACAGATCCAAAACAACAAAAATTGTGTGACTGTCCAAATACTTGAAATTGAAATGGTTCCTTCATTACGGTGCAGTATGCAGTGGGCCTCATGATGAAAAGATTCTCATTGTTTGTGTGGCTGCTTGGCTCCTGTAGGACGGTCGTGGCTTTGGGATTGGAGAACTGGTCTGGGGGAAGCTACGCGGGTTTTCCTGGTGGCCAGGCCGGATCGTGTCCTGGTGGATGACAGGGCGGAGCAGAGCTGCCGAGGGAACCAGATGGGTCATGTGGTTCGGTGACGGCAAGTTTTCCGTGGTAAGCTTTACATGGACTTTATATAGCCATGGATGTAAGTTGGGTTTTATGTCAATATGAGTTTGTTTTAAAGGGGTTTTCGCCACTTATGCGCATTGTTTGGACTGCTCAGGGTTATCAGAATCACATTGCTTAATCATAAAAAAGGTCTGTTATTGTACCAGTGGTATATTTAACTGCATTAGTTTTAAAATATGGCTCCTGCAGACTCGGTTCAAAACTTCAAACACAGCAATTTAGAAATATTGCCATATCACCCTGCAATTCACAGGCAACCCACTGAAGCTAAGCAGGTGTGAGCCTGGTCAGTACCTGGATGGGAGACCTCCTGGGAAAGCTAATGTTGCTGCTGGAAGTGGTGTTAGTGGGTCCAGTAGGGGGTGCTCTCCCTCCGGTCTGTGTGGATCTCTAATGCCCCAGTATAGTGACAGGGACACTATACTACACTATACTATAAAAAGGTCTCTCGATGAGACGTAAAACCGAGGTCCTGACTCCCTGTGGTCGTTAAAAATTGTTTCTCGAAAAGAGTAGGGGTGTTACCCTGGCGTCCTGGCCAAATTTCCCCCTGGCCTTTACCTATCATGGACTTCTAATAGTCCCCATATATGAACTGGCTTCATCACTCTGTTCTCCTCCCCACTGATGTGTAGTGAGTGTACTGCCACACTCTGGCATTGCTACACATTGGTGGTGGTGGATACTCTCCATTACCTGTAAAGTGCTCTGTGTGGAGTGTCCAGAAAAGCTCTATATAAGTGTAAGGAATTATTTATTATTATTGTTTTTAAATATTTAATTTTCTCATCACATTACTCTATACTGTAGGTCAAGAATGTGGTGCTACTTTGTGTGCAATACTAGTACCTAGTGCCGTAGTGTATAGTTACCTTATATCTTATTAAGCCACAGTCAAACTGGAGTGTTAGTATTAGCACTATGACAGTCAACAATTTAAAGTATTGTCTTTGGGTATGTGATGACATTCTGAGGCAGTTATTAATGGAATAGTTAACCTGCCAGCCTGTGAGGCTGTCAAAATCTCAGGGCAAACCATTAATCAGTAAGCAGACCGCAAGCTGACAGACACCAAACCAGAAGGACCCTCATTACTTAATTAAATAAATTGCAGATTTGCTGTTTTAGATGAAGCTGAGTGGTCAAGAAGGGCAGTACCACAAAAAAAAGGCCCTGTGCCACTAGTGGAAATGGATTTTCCCACAAACGTAGTTCAAGTTTATTTGTCATTCCAGCCATATACAAGTATACAGAGAGGCTAGATATCGTTCTCCAGGTCTATGATGCAAATGCAGAGAGGGCACTGACAAGGCAAAGCATGTGGGGTTAAGAACGAATAACAGCCTTTATAGGGCAAAAAAGGGGAAGAAAACCTAACGAAGCCTAACCTTCAACTGGATTAACAAAATACACAGAAATGTAACAAGAAAAAGGTCAAAAATTAAATGGCAAAAATAAAACGAAGGATTAACCTTTATGAACAATGAGAGAAAAATAGAAAGACTCCAGGGTTTAACCTTCAAGTCCTACCTATTAGGGGAAATTTGAGAAGCAGTTTCCAGCACTCTACCTCTCCTCAACTGTCATTTCCCCGAATAAATCATATTAGAGCTTTAAATCCCCTTAAATCTCCCGTGTGGGAGATACCATAGTATACAGTAGGTATGTATAAGTGGGGTCATAGATCCAGAGCTCTAGTGACTTTATATATCTTTTTAAAAATTAAAAAACAATATTAGCAACAAATGTGATAGACTACAGAAAACTGCTTGCACAAATGGAAGACAACAATTCCGATTCCCAAACACAAACAAATGACCCAGTTCATGACACACACCTCTATCTCATGATATGGTTCGTGCAGTAGCCCTAATAAAAAGCTGCATCCGTGAGCGTGCGGAACTTAAAAGAACACTAAAAGAAACATTTTCCCAGTAAGACACACTCGACGGTACCACAGAGTAATTGGCAGAAATAGCCAATACTAAAGAAAAATAAAGCCTCACGTGCTGTCACTGCTTATAAAGTTACTGGGGAGAGCACCCACTCGTCAGACTTACTGAAACAGCCTATTAATATCTCAGCCATTAATTATCGATAATGGCAATAATGGAATCAATTCATCATTGCAAATTCACACACTTAACCAAAGGTTGTTTATTGTGACTGGCACTTAGATTGCAGAAGGTTCTGTGTGCTAGTGGGCTCTGTATGCCTGTATGTGAAAGTGATTAACAAGTAAAAAAAGCCATAATTTCCCGTGTATGAAGACATCAGTTTAAATTAATCTTGAAGAAATACAACAATGGCAAATATACATAGGCACACATAGATACTGTATAAGTCCCTCTGTTTACCAAATCTCTCAATAACGTACTGTACAACAGATACTTAAGAATTTAAGGTTCCAAATGGGAGGGGGTCATTGATCCCATCTTTCTCAGTTGTTAGTTTAATGAGTTAATGAGCCTTTTCGTGGATCACAGAGTTTGAACTTTTTTTTGCAGCAGGGAAACTTCTTTTCAGACCTCTCGGGCTGAATCCTCCTGCACCCCTGCTTGTTGTGAGCACACAGTCCTTATAGGGTGTGTAACTGGTTCCTGCTGCTGTGCTGAATGTGAAGAGAGATCAGCAAGCTGGTTTTCACAGTCATATACTATACATATACATTACACTCCTGGTATCAGCTGACTGCATTCACAGTTGATGTCTCTCATATGATTGTATCCTACAGTGGCTGCATACTGTGTTTCCCTTTTACCTTTTTATAAATACCCCCAAGGGTTTTTAATACTAATAGAGATCCACGATGTTATGTTTGATCTAATATATCTAATTTTTCATTTTTTAAAGTTTGAAACTTGTTTAGAAGTAAAGAAAAAAAAGCACTTTTTTTTAAACAGAAACATGAAAGCAGAAATTCTATATTTAAAACAGAACTAAAAATGAGCACCCAAAAGTGAAATAATTAAGACAAAACATGAATTTACAACACAGTAAAAGAGAATATGTGAGTATGTTAGACGAATTATATAATGTGTTTTATTATTTGTGTTCATGCCAGGAAGTAGCAAGAAACAGGAAGTATATGTACACTTTGAAACTATGGATACATATAAAATGATCTGTGCTATAGAGTAAGTAAACCAAACGTAGAAAGTACATGCACAAAAACACAAACTCATTGAGTTTATAATACTGTTCATCACTACATCCTGATTTCTGTGAAATATTTGTTAGTTTGGATTGATAGATCCTGAGAAAGCAAAAATCCATTATCCAGTGAAACATTCCTTTGCTATCATTCAGTTATTTTTTAACTGAAATAGACAAAACTAGAAAATTTTGAAACAGTGATCAAAAGAAAGTAAAGAACCTCCTTCTGCTAGCTCCTTCCTGTATGTCCCGCCAGAAACCACATCAAACCAAAGAGTAAAAGCCTCCAACCAAAGAAGATTGGTGGTTGAAAATGTCAGAATTCTTTGAAAAGCTACAAGGGGCAGGATTGGTTCCTGAGTAAATGTTGCTGAAGTTTTTTGTTCATATTCAAAATAAGAGGGTGCTGTACTATCAAGTCATAGTGTTTCACAAGGTGAAAACATTTTTAACATTTCAAATTCTGTTTTCATTAGTCAAGGGCATATTGTTCTTTATAGAAAAACTATATAACTATTCATGTTTACAAGGTATCTTAAAAGCTTTTTGTTGTTGTAAATTCTACAGTTTAAACAGTGATTTAAACAGTTCCCATAGTATGCTTAAATATGCATGTACATATATATATATAGCCAGATTAAATGTCTGAATTTGGATGTTAACACAGTTTTAATGTGTAAACAATACTAAAATGGGCAATTTATCTTACTTATGCTTACTTATCTTTTGTTTGCTAGGTCTGCGTGGAGAAACTGATGCCTTTGAGTTCATTTTCTAATGCCTTTCACCAGCCAACCTATAACAAACAGCCCATGTACAAGAAAGCAATTTATGAGGTGCTTCAAGTAAGTGAAATATGGTTGATTTTGAAAAAAAATGTTTCCACAGTCATGTAGAGGCTTTAAGTTAACAAAGACCAAAATATGTATAACATAGAAAACTTTCAAACAAACGTTGATATTCTTAAATGGAAATGACTTTTTATGTATCAGATACCAAAGAAAGCCAACGATCCGGGACCAAAGCCTTCATCAAGAGTCGATTTTGAGAGCCTTAAATCTAAATTTATAAACCCCCACCTCTTGCCATGTGACGTACTGTATCTGTCATTTTTCTGAAGTTCTGTTGATCTATGTTCCATTCCCACGTGTGTTATTGATGTCTGGGTTTTTGGCAGCCCTCTCTATCATGTAAAACACAATGGCAGTGCATTCACTGCTGTGCAACCACATTCAAAAACACAACCACAGCTTAAATTATGTGCAGTGTAACATGGTTGCATTGTAGAGCAAGTACAATATTCTGGAGTTGACAAGGTTAACAAGGGCTGGGCTGATTAACCCACACACTGTCAGTCTTACACACAAGAATCAATTAGTGTAAAATGAGCTTTATTTTGCAAAAAAGCAAAAATAAACTTGAGACCCAAGTCAGATAAGCTGGCCAAGACTATAAAATACAATCAAAGCATGAGAGAATATTGCACTGTGTTATTCTGTATTGTTAATGCAAACTTTTACTTTACTGTCTAAAAGGATGCTGTATGTTTAAGGCTTAACTGGAAACTATTGTTAAATGTCCATCAGTCCACTGAAACTGCATGATTTGTAGGCAATGAATGTTCCTCTATCAGCACAAAGTTTTAGAAGTTCCGTTAGCCTCAGATGAATTGTAAGTAGCTAGCATTGGGGAAAAAAGGACTTAATTTATCTTTGCATATCCCTTTTTGGAACAAATGTTCTGCAGTATCACAAAAAATAACTTCACAAAAAAGCACACTCTGCATTCTCAAAAGACACTAGGTGTTAAATTTAAATTAGAAAAGAAAAAGTTAATTATCACTTAAACGTAAAATGGCGTGAAAGGTTAGAATAGAAAGAGGCACAGAGCTACAGATTTTAGTTGGTAACAATATAAACTGCAGCAGTATTTATTGTTTTCTGTAACTGTTATCGTGACAGATACAAAACATGTTCTTCTAGTGCTTACAGTATGTACATTTTATTCTGATAATTGAAAGCCTCTGTAAGTAACTTCATGATATGTAAAGCATCACAGGAAACCTCTGGAGTGATAGAGAGGATAGAGAGGAAGCATGACTACAGTGAGAGCTGGAAGCATTCAAATAGTGCACTGTACACCATGTGTGTGACACCGAGAACACTTGTCATAATGACTTTGTTTGATGTATCATCCTGTTCGAATGAAGGTTGCGTGTCACATTAAAGGTCCTGTGATCTTTTGGCAGGTGGCCAGCAGCAGAGCAGGAAAAATCTTCCCTACCTGTCCTGACACCGATGAGACTGACACATCAAAATCAGTAGACCTTCAGAACAAGCAGATGATCGAGTGGGCAATGGGCGGGTTCCAGCCAACTGGGCCAAAAGGACTGGAGCCCCCGGAAGGTAGTGAATTAAACAGCAGCTCTGCTGACAGGCACTGGGCTCTAATACCCACAATGCCCACCTGGGCAAATTTGGTGTGCTAGTCCCCAATTCTTGGGGTTTGTTAGCATGTTTTTGTCTTTCTTAGTGTTTGGGTGGGGTTTACTGTTTTCCCCCATGGCTGCCTAATGATGCAGTACCTGTAAAAAAAAAAACAAGACTTAGTGTCTGTCTTTGGCTACTTCATAACACTAGAAAGCACAGCAGATTTAATTTAAAATCTGTCTCGGCTAAAATAAAAGTCTGACCTTCTTGGGACCCATGAGAAATAGAGTTAGCACCTTGACAAGGATGGTGTTTTCAAAGGTGATTCAACTTGTTTTTTGCTGCTCTTTTTCAGTGTGCAGTGTGCTTTGTTTTTTATCTTAATTTTAAACAGCACAATTTAAAATGAGATAAAATTGCCACTAGATAATTAAACTTATGCTATCAAATTAGATATGTGTTCTAAATAGTTTGAAAAGGTTCTTTTGCAATTTGTACAATAGGAATTTGAACAAATGTGTACAAAATAAAAAAGCTTCCACTTTACCAGCATTTCAGAGCTCGGTAGTGTCAAAATGCTCTTTACAACTTTCAATTAATTTCAGTTTACAGTTACAGAATAACAGGATTATCAATATTTACTGATAAGTGCCTTCCTTTTTGTGGACACATTATTTGCTCCAAAACCCAGTGTTTACTACCATAATAACTCACTTATGCAGTTGTTAATTGTATTATTCAGAAATGTAGATCCTTTTCAGTACAAAAATTGCTGTTTCCATGTCTATTCTTTCCTTTTTCACATTAAAACTACTCTTCACTTTACTGTAAGTGCATTTAGAGCTGCGGTTTCTCAGTCTTATGAACCACATTTATTTGGCTGTCCACAGGAAAGAACGTTTGCTCCAGTTTTTTGCTCCTGCTGTTTTCTCAGAAGTCGGTACTGTGCATCCAGCTACAAATAATGATTTAAAACCTTGGTCAGAGCTGAAATTCCTGCTTTAAAAATGGTTTCCCTTCAAGGCTGGTAACAAGCTTTGGGAATGTGCTCCTTGTTGTTGCAATGTTGAAGTCACAACGTTTCTTCCCCTCCCCAGAGGAACGTAACCCCTACAAAGAAGTTTACACTGAGATGTGGGTGGAACCCGAAGCTGCAGCCTATACCCCACCTCCACCAGCCAAAAAGCCAAGGAAAAGCACAGCAGAGAAGCCCAAGATCAAGGAAATCATAGACGAGAGAACCCGAGGTACTAGAAACCTGCTCCTGCCCACTTCTGCGAGTGTACCTACAGAGTCCACTTTATTACACTGAGACCTATTGAAATGAAATATAAACCTTTAAGAACCATGGGTAGTTTAATATAGTGGATTGCAAGGTTAAAACCTGTGCACATTACACTACTGCAGAAATAGCAGAAACCTAAGAGCAGGCACTTCTTTGCTAATTATAGTACGATACGTGAGTTTAACTGATTAAGTAGCCTAACTCTTGACATCCATGTACTCTGATTGTAAAGAGCTGCATATAAAGTGAATATTGCTTGAAGCATATTACAATCGAATAAACATGTTCATGCTTATACCTCCATCCTGTGGTTTGGACTTTATTTAGTCCTGGCCTGTGATCTACACCAGTGCCAACCTACCCATCGTTACACTGCTGTCTGCAGAAATGTGAGTAATGTATCAGAGCTGGGTACTTTACTGGGTGTAAGTCTGGGGGGAGGTGGCTAGGCTGGAAATCAGTATATGCTGTAAAACTGGACGTGAAGCAACCCTATTCTATTCCTAGGGCTGAAAAGTGACTTTCTTTTTTTTTAATTTTAGAGCGGCTCGTGTATGAAGTGAGGCAAAAATGCAGAAACATAGAAGGTATGTGGTTTATCTTTCACTGCTTGGCCATAGTGTCCCTTCCATATGACGGACAGCATCTGTCTCTCATTAACTGCATCAGCGACTCTTAGCGCTCATTTCGTTCTAGCTGATATTTAAGAGTCTTGGACAGACATCAAAGTCTGTACAACAAGCACACACTTCATCCACAGAGTTGTTTCTGCAACAATCCCTTGGACAGATTCAATTCTGTGAGAGGAAGTGGGTCACTGATGTTGAGCAGCAAGTAATCCGATGGGGCCATTGCTGAACTGCTGAAGAGGATTGTGTCAGTGACACGAACAAAACACAAAACCTGCTGTCTTGTCCCTTGCAAAGTACTTCTTAAATTTAAAGGCTTATTTTGCTTGTGACTGCAAAACGCTATTACTAGGCAGGGCTGCGTTGCTATACTTGCAGGATAAATGTATTTATTTAGATTTAAAGTGTATGCTTTTCTTTACAGATATTTGCATTTCCTGCGGAAGTCTGAATGTCTCCCTTGAACATCCTCTCTTCCTGGGAGGCATGTGCCAAAACTGCAAGGTATGTTTATGTGTTTGCCTTTCCAGTTAGATAGATAGAAAGTCTCCTGAAACACTGTGCTTGGACAAAGAGCTAATTAACAGTCTTACCCATAGTTTTCTGTAGCTGCCTTAACTCCTACCCAGTGATAGAACAGTTCATTCAAGTAGATATGTTCTTCTTTTCTGTTTTGGACCTGTATATAGTATAAGCATGGCAAAATTGACTATATTGGTTCTTGCAGGGCAGTCCTTCACATTTAATCTCATTGATTTATTTAAAATATTTATCTAATATTTTTTATTTAATACCAGAACAATCAAATGCAATTTGTATCTCATTTTATTTTTCCCATAAGTATATTGAAGAGGTGAAAGGAAAAAGGTTATTCTTTGTAAATGTAAAATTGCAGGGGTGCCTATACATCTAGTTACTGCCACCCTCCCACATTATTATGTTTGTTAATATTGTATATTGATATGCTTGATCTTTCTGTCAGTATGAACTTGATGGGGTTCTAAGGCAGTAAACAGGGCTAATAACAAAATGAAATTTTCAAATTAAAATTTCATTTTAAGTTACTGTAAGGCTGTTAATACAAATGCCCCGATTCCTTTATTACAAATTAATATAAGGATGGCGTCTCCCAATGTAACATTTTTACTAGCTGAAATCTGTTAAGTCTGCTTCTTACCATTACAATTTCAACATGTACCCAATAAAGGAGTTTTGGTTTATGAGCAAGTGCAGGTAGTGGTGAAGGGGTATCGTACAATTACAGGAGCTTAAGGTGATTGTAGGGAAGTACTGTACAGTACATTTACATGTTCTGGTAATCTGTGTGGATTCCTGTAGGAGTAGAGTGTAATGACTACTGTGTGTAGGGATTTATGTTTTTCTGTAATGTTATGTTCATTTTTAATATAATGTTTCTTTTACTGTTTTTTATCTCTTTGTGTAAAACACCTGCTTGAGGGCTAAGCAAATTTCTGAGATAACAAATTCTTATTGCATCACATGACTTTTGAGAGCTGTATTAGTGAGAAAACGAATTGTGTGCTGTATTCTAGTCACGTGGTATGAGCAGTCCTGTCACTGACAGGAGTCAACAAATTCTGCTACTTCGCTCAATAGGACACAGTCAGAAACATCACATTAGCAAAGTGTCAGTCAATACTGCTCTTTTAGTGTTCTGATAGTGTTTGTTAGGCTCAGATCTTGGCAGTTATGGTCTCTGGCTTCACACGCTTTCTTCTCAACTTTCACATCACAGAGCCGCATGCGTTTTGGCTTCAGCAACAGTCGTATCTGAGTTACAGGGAACAAACACTGTTCTGCGTTTTTCAGAATTGTTTCCTGGAATGTGCGTATCAGTACGACGATGACGGATACCAGTCGTACTGCACCATCTGCTGCGGGGGCCGCGAGGTGCTCATGTGCGGAAACAACAACTGTTGCCGGTGAGAAATGTTCCAGACCTTGAGCATATTGTGGGGCCAGCCGAGGACATCTTGAAGACAAATGGCAGCAGTAAAGTTGTGGGAAGAGACAAGGCCACAAAAAAAGGATCGAGTCTGTGTGAATCCAAGGATTAACAATAGGGTTTATTTTAGTTTTGTTTGAGATTATTTATTTACTGCTACATCTTTATTGGTCAGGTTTTGTGACCTATGAATGCTTTAAAAGGATATAAATCAAATACAGTGTTTCTTTTAGTCAGACCAGGCTACTGCAAAACAGTGAAATTCCAAATACATACAGTATATGTGAAAAGGATGCAAGAAATAATATTTAAAATGTAATCAAAAATATTTATTATACACTTTTAAAAATTGTTTTTGAATTTTGTTTTAACAGCAAACAAATGCTTAAATGCTGACATTTTGTCACAACCAAACTCATAATCACAAAAGGCATGTATGGTGAAAAGTGCAACTAGTAGGACAGGGAAGTGAAATTTTGCTGTGTACTATTCAGGGCTTGAATTTCAGCACAACGGTATGCCACACAATTTTAGTTATTGCACATCTTGTATTCGTTATAGCCGGACGAACAGGGATAGAAAACGGGTTGATTTTGATTGCTGTCAGACAGACAATTCAACTTTGTGGCCCTCTGCCACTTGATGAAAGATGTACTGGTGCATGTACAGTAGTCCTTCTCTCGAAGCATTTTCAAAGGGAACAGACTTCTCCACAGCTCAAGCTATGGTTCGGTATACTAAAGAGGCACTGACAGAGGTATTAGTGCATCCTGGTCCTTCAGAGCTTCCTTGAAGATAACAACTTTAAAGGAGACAATCTGTTTGATTGTCATACACAAAAGCCTGCCTTTGACAACATGAAAAGCAGATACGTGGGTTCTATCAATCAATCAAGGTTTATTTATCAATGCATGAACAATACAGCCTACAGCAGTGTTGACAGCAATGAAATGCTTTATCTGCGAGCTCGTTAAGAGGGATATACAGTAAGGGTAGAAGGACAGAAGTTTATAGGGATTAGGTTAAGGCTGTGGTTGACTGTTTAGCAGTCTTATTGCCTGGGGGAAGACGCTGTTTCAAAACCTGTTGGTCTTGGTCTGTATACTTGGTATCGTTTTCCAGATCACAGTAGAGTGAACAAGTTGTGGTTAAGGTGACTGGGGTATCTGAGGATAGACCTGGCCTTCTTGAGGCTTCTAAAAGAGGAGATATACTTGATGTTTGGTAGTGTGCAGCCGGTAGTGATTTGAGCCAGTTTCACCACCCTCTGCAGTACCTTGCACTCTCAGGTGGAGCAGTTACCATACCAGGCAGTGATTCAGCAAGTTAGGATGCTTTCGATGGTGCACATGTAGAAATTGGTCAGGATGTGTGACGACATGCCAAACTTTTTTTAGTATGCAGAGAAAGAATAGACACTACCGTGCTGTCTTTGCTACGAGGTTGGTGTGGTGGGTCCAGGTTAGATAATCTGTGATGTTGACACCAAGGAATTTCAAACTGTTGACTCTCTCCACTGCGGACCCATTGATGTGAATGGGTGCGTGGTCTGTTCCCCGATGCTTCCTGTAGTCTACGATCAGCTCCTTAGTTTTGCTGGTGTTCAGAGAGAGGTTGTTGTCCTGGCACCATGCGTTTCTACCTCCTCCCTGTACAAAGACTCATCACCGTTCATGATCAAGCCGATGATCGTTGTATCATCCGCAAACTTAATGATGAACTTTGATTTGTTCCTGGCAATGCAGTCGAGGGTGAATAGGGAGTAGAGGAGAGAGCCAAGTACGCAGCCTTGGGGGGCGCCTTTTTTCAGAGTCAGGGTAGAGGATATATTTGTGCCTAGTCTCACCACCTGCGGTCAGCCCGTCAGAAAGCCCAAGATCCAATTGCAGAGAGGGAGCTTAGTTCTAGATCCCGGAGCTTGGTGATTAGCCTTGAGGGTACGATGGTATTAAATGCTGAGCTGTAATCAACAAACAACATTCTCAAATACGTTCCTTTTTAATCTAGGTGTGAAAGGGTAGTGTGTAGAGCAGTGGCGATGGCATCCTCTGTTGATCTGTTCTGTCAGTATGCAAATTGCAGTGGGTCCATGGTGTCAGGCAGTAAAGATGAGCTTTGATGAGCCGCTCGAAGCATTTCATGATAATAGATGTGAGTGCAACAGAGGCGGTTTAGCAAAGTCATTTAGGCAGTTGACTCTGAGTTTCTTGGGGATCAGGACAATGATGGTTTTCTTGAAGCAAGAGGGGACTGTGCATTGAGTAAGGGAGAGATTAAATATGTCCGTGAAAGATGCCTGCCCGTTGATCTGCGTAGGCTTCAGGACACGACCAGGGATAGCATTGGGGTCAGGAGCTTTGCGTTCTAGTCTAGTGGATTTGTCTTTTTAAAGACCTTGTACACATCAGCTCTGGAGACAGACAGTGTGTGTTCCCCCTGGTTTCTGGGATTTCCTTAGCTGGTTCTGTGTTATTGATTTCGAACCTTGCGTGAAATTAATTTAGTTAATCGGGGGAAAGGTGGTGCGTGTCGTTTTGCTAAGTTTCACTGAGTGTGTTGCTGAGGCTTGCTTGATGAGGAAGAGAAAAAAACGATCTTCCTTCTCCTAAGTTTTCATCTTGTACCTTCAATGGAGAGGAGGTTGGCAATAAAAGACAGATTGACAAAAAGATTTTTGAATTTCAAGCCCTGCTATTGAAAAATGTATTTTAATTCAGCTTTTATTTCTGGATATTTTTGTGCATACAGTACAGTTCACAGTTTTGATGTCAGCTCAACACAATGTCATTTGTTTTGTTCAATCCTCCAATTTCAGGTGAGTATTTAAATTAATTTAAATTAATAAATTAATAAAAAATATATGTTTTTAGTGGTGATGAAACATTTGCATCTGGTAGCATAGCCTTTGTAATTCTCCTGTCTCCTGCACTCTGGAGTTTGTAATCTCTTTGATTTGTTATTTTAGGATTTTTCTTCTGAGTTCTCAAGCTTTTCTGTCATTAACCGTTGTCATCTTCCTTGGACAACTTGTGTTTTCCAATTGCTTACTTCTCCAGTAATTTATTTATTTTTCAAGACATTCTATATTGTAATATTGTTGTATATTGTATATATAATATATTCTATATTATATATACAATCCCAATCTCATTGTAATGGTTCCAATTAGATTTTGTTTTGCTCTCATCTTCGCTTGCATTTCAATCACCGACAACTCTTCTAGGCTTCCTCTTGGTTTATGCCTTCTAAGTCAAGAGGCAGATCCAGAGAGTAAACTTCAGAAGCTGGAAACATTGTTTTGTTTTCAAAACTAATGCAACATGGAACACCTGAGCATTTAGAACCACATGTGAGACATTTGTTCCAATACAGCACTTACAGTACAGTATGCTCACCTGAAATAGGGGAATGAAACAAATCACATTATTCTAACATGAATAAATATGTATGTAAAATAATAGCCGGGAACAAAAGCTGACACTCTGTACTTCTGTATTCATTCTTTCCTCATTTGATCTGAAGTTTCATTAGTACACATCAAAAATGACAAATTTCACTTCATTGTCCCAGTGTTCCACTGTACAGTATATATGATTTATTGCAGATGAACTAATGGCAGTTAATCCACTTACTTTAATGGCAACTAATCTTTTAAATAGCACTTCAAATTGCTCATATGGATACATTATCTTCAATTGTCAATAAGCCAGTTTTCTCATTGGCAAATTTTAAGTCAGTAATGCATTTTATGCCCTAGTAACGCACTAATAGGTAATAGATGAGGCAGAGATTGGGAGCCATTGTCTAAATACACATCCATCATCAGCACAGTGTTGAATACTTTTGATAGAAATAGGGGTTGAAATAGCAGAGTGACAACAAGACAAGGGAAATAGCCAACAGTGGTCAGCTCTGATGAGATTCCCTAGAGAAAGGCTAAACCCATTGCCCGACTTTCTCCTGGCCATTGTGCAGGAGAAAGACTAGATAAATGAAGAGATTGGAGAAACCCCATACACTTTTCCTGATCATATTTAGTGTACAAACTGTTTAATTTAAGAAAATGGCAAAATGTAGGGATTATTCATGTTCTGATAGTAATACCCCTGACAGCAAGAATGTCTGCAAAGTGTTCATTCCTTCAGAGATTTAAAGCTGTGGAATACCTGGGCCAGCTATACATAAAATAATTATTCTGCCATGGTCTGTGTATAAGAAATTGTCACAATGTCTAAGCAGCTAATTCAGACATTTTATAACAAGGCTGGTTTCTAATGCAGTATTATTGGAAGAAGGGACCTGTTTAGTATGTTCTAAATAAAGGTTAGCTGTGGTTTCTGTAAAGCAGTAAAGTAAGTATCTGTGCAATTTTAACTTCAGTTTTGCTGCAAGATTTTAAGGAAATATAAAAATAGCATTGCAGTTCCTCCTTAATACAATTAGGTAATCTGATTTTTTTTACTTTTGAGGGGCAGCAGTGTTACTATTCCTGTGTGAACAGAGAGCAGTTTTGATCTCCATATACCCACAGACTTTTCTTCAGCAAGGATCTTTCTAACTGAACATGTCTAGCTGTTGGCGTCTTCCTGTAGTTAGTGAAATTAGTAGTTATCAATGTAGTTATCAATGTAGTTAGTGTATACACAGATACAGAGGAAAAATGTTATTATCAAGTCTGATGTTTTTACTTTACAGTGTAAATTCAAACAATATCGTGTAGCACAAAGCTAAAGATGCATCCATCCATTATCCAACTCCTGTAGCCAATACAAGGTTGAAGGGGGAGCTGGTGCCCAACCTGGCAAACAACGGGTGCAGGGCAGGATATACCCTGGATAAGACGCCAGTCCCTTACAGGGCAAAAGCAGACAATCGTGCCCATACTCACTCCAGTGGCCAATTTTCCCAGAAGCCAATCAACCTACCAGTATGTCTTCGGACTGTGGGAGGAAACAGTTCAACCAAGGGACCATGAGCTATGAGGCAGCAATTCCCTACATATTACAACCCTGCCCACTAAAGATCCATTCACTCAACAAAAATCTCTTGAGTTAAAAAACAGAAAAGATAGTGTATTGCAGTGATGTGTGAAACTAAAATTGCACTGCATCAATGCAAAAAAGACTGAACAGTACATCAATTATTTTTTTTAATTGGAATTACCTGTTCCCTTTCAGTATACTACGACTCTGAGGTGCGTCACATGGAACATGCCTAAATCGTGTGGAATGTGAAGTGTAAAACAGAAATCACTTCAGCAGTACTGTTTTGTACAGTAAATGTACTCACAAAGCAACAACAGCTGTTTATCCAAAGTTATAATTCCATGGTAATTAAGAGCATTTCTAGGACAAATACAAAGAGATTGTAAATTTGTAGATCAGTATCTCAGTTTTAGAGGACCTGCAGTTAACATCCTTTGCAGACTTCTACTATGAGAGGGGATTTTCTGCTGAGATTCTTTTTTTTTTGCCCTCTTCCATGCTCAGTCAGTGGAATTCTGTTTCTGTTCTCTTGCTTTTGCAAGTAAAAGCAAGTGTTTGCTCTCTCATCTTAATCAGCATGTTTTGACAGGTGCAGGACAAGTATCACATGTGATTGTCTGTTAAAACCGGCATGGCTGAACACTGTGCTGTAACAAGGACATCACAGCCTGTCTAATGGAGTATCAGCCTTGAGCAAGTCGAACCTGAAGTTTCAGTTATCGCTGTTAAACAACTACTACAGTATGTTTTTACTTTCCTTTACCATCTTACTTCATAAGGTATGGTGTATGCCTTAAATAACAGGAGCAGGAGCAAACAAAATTATGTCTTAATGACTGATGGACCGTGAAGTAAGGAGGAAACATTGTTGTGTAGCTTTACTCTTTGTCACAGCAGCAAGAAATAGTCATTCAGAGGGAAACAGAACAGACATTACAAGTAAAAAAGAACACTTGAATCCATTTTAGATCCATTTTTAAATTGGTTCAAGTGGAAAAAATAGATAACATCAAGTGACTACAGCAAACCCTCCGTTTAACAGACTTTGGCTTTAACAGACTAATTCTGGGGAGTTTTGTCTATGAAATCGGAAATACCAGACTGATAATAATACTGGGCTGCAAAAGCAGAAGCTAGTCTGGTCAACACTCTCGATGTATTCTGAAAAATAGGAATTAGAAGAAATAATAAAAGTATAAATGAGTTGTAGGTACTTTAAATGTAAGATATTGTTAAAGTGGGATTGCATTGGTGTTTGACATTTTGTAATAAGAGACTGCATAATATGACACAATATTTTATGCATTTATAAAAAGAAGTACAAAACAGTAATGTACAATAAAATAAGACAAATATCTCATAAATCTCAGTCAAATGGAATAATAAAACAATAAATATAATTTTCTTAAAAGCATGAATATCAGTAGTGGGTATAGGGGTAGGTCAATTGCTTAGAGTTAGTGTTGTTTGTGTGTTTTAGTGAATTATTAAAGATTTTAAAAATACATGAACATGTTAATATGAAGAAAATTCAGTGAAATGCACCAAAAAAAGGTTAAAATAAATACTAAGCTGGATGCTATACGTAAAGTAGATTTGAAATTCGGGAATATCTCTGTTGCCCTTTAGGGTTAGATCAGTTGCTTGCAATGGGTGTCATTGGTGTTTTGTATGCTTTAGCAATTTTTATACAGTATTTTGTAGGACAGATAAAATAATTTGTGTATTTGTTAAAAAAAGGCACGAGAACAGTTTTCATTTTGTAGATTGTCATTTTTAAAAATAGATCAAAAGATACATAAAGCGTATAGATAGTACATAGATATAGTTCTCATAATGTGTTTTTAGGTTGAAATAATGTAATTTGACTTTTAAAGGACATTTCACAATAACGAACACTCCTTCCTGCCTATCAGTCTGTTAAACCTACAGTTTACTGTGTACAAATGCCTTTTGAGTGTAAAGTGAGAGCAAATATATATATTTTTAATTCAGCATTTAACATTTACAGATTCAAATCAAATAGTACCAATTTTCATGATAGAATTTGTCAGGCAGACCTCAATGAAATGGGAACCTGATGACGGTTAAGAACTACAGTCGTACTCAGTTGTTATTCTGTTGCTTTTTGCTTCAAATCACATTGACTATCTTACCCTGTATTTTGTGGGCATAAAGACCTTATATTATTTAGCTTTCAACCTTAGGCACATGATGTCTTTACTGGGACGTGCAGGTTTACGAGGACTTAGTCATTGTTTTTTCATTTACATTTTGCTTTGTTGGCCGAAGATCCTTCAAGTAATGGACATTCAGGATAACAACGTAGAGTAAGAAGGTTACAAACGAGAGGAGGTTATTTGGTCCATCTGGCCCATTTGGTAATAGTTATTTGGTCCATGAATCTTACCCATCCATTTCTTGAAAGAAGCCAGAGTATCAGTTTCAATAACGTGGCTGGGCAGCTTGTTCATTACATAGTCACCATATGGAGTATACAAGCTTTCCAGTGGTGATGAACTCCAATTCACCGTGTTGCAGAAGCTGGAATGTGTGAAGCTACCAAGTAGCTCTATAAAATAGTACAGTATCTGTATGGCCGCATACAAAACAAATAATTTGTTCCACAGGTAGATTCCATGATATTTTAATCTGCCTGGACCTGGGGTTAGGAAGGATGACTTTATTATGTTCAATTCAATTCAGTTTATTTTTACATAGCACCTTTCACAACAAGGTTGCCCCATATTCCCTTGTAGGTGCTTTTGTGTGGAGTGCGTGGACCTTCTTGTGGGACCAGGTGCAGCCCAAGCCGCTATCAAGGAGGATCCCTGGAACTGCTACATGTGTGGAACCAAGGGCATCTACGGGCTGCTGAAAAGACGAGAGGACTGGCCCTCCCGCCTCCAGCACTTCTTTGCCAATAACCATGACCAAGATTTTGTGAGTATCAGAGGTACAGAACTTGAGCTGACCAGTCTAACACAAAAGACCACCAAACAGCAGGCTTCATAGGCATATATTTTCATTTGTATGGCGTAATGAACAACCTAAAAAAATGTAAGGACTGAAGGAATTGTTAATCAGACAGTGTTTCTTGCTCATTCTTTTTGCTCTGCTTCCTTTTCGTCCTGTTATAAATTAAAATATTTAACTTTTGAAAAGAATGAAGTACTGTACAGTGCTAACGATTGCTTAACAATTCATTCTTCCAATTTCAGGAAGAAGTAAGATTTGATCTCTTTTCTCAAAACATTGTATTTTCTGTTTTTCAGGATCCACCAAAGCTTTACCCTCCAGTCTCTGCCGAAAAAAGGAAACCCATTCGCGTCCTGTCGCTATTTGATGGTATTGCAACAGGTGAGTTTTTTGATGGTTTCCTTTATTGACTGCAGAAGTCGATTCCAGTCTTCTCGCAGATTAGCAAAGACCCACAGCAGGTCAGGATAATTAGCAGGAGATTTTGGTTTGCAGTAATGATAGCAACATATAGTACGTTGAGATTTTTCTTTTGTAATTTTTTGTCAGGCTTCGTTCAAGGGATCTGTACTGCAGCTTAGCTAAACTTTGGGAAACCCTCAGCTATATACCCAAATTTGAAGATTGTAGGCTGATCTTATTGTGCAGGTGTATTAGTATATTGTAGGATGAATGCTGGAGATCTGTTATTTTACCTACTATCAATGTTTCTCCAGGACTTCTGGTGCTAAAAGACCTTGGTATTCAGGTGGAGCGGTACATAGCTTCCGAAGTGTGTGAGGACTCCATTACAGTGGGGATTGTCCGACACCAGGGCAGGATCATGTATGTTGGAGATGTCAGGAATGTTACACGCAAACACGTAAGTGCGAACTCACCAGACAACTATCAAAAGAAATGAAGACTTAACCTTCATTTTGCTACAGTATGTTGTCCCTACTGCTTGTTTTACTTCAGGGTTTTTTTCTGAGATGTGGCATTTTCCAAGATGAATAAATGGATTAATACAGTATGTAGGAAAAAATTGTCAATCAAAAACTGGGTTGTTTTCTTGGAAGGTAACAGTGCTGCCTCTGTCTTTTTTTCAGTGAGCCTGAAAATGTCTGTGAAATGATTCATTTTTACACCTAAAGAACACCTGCTATTTGGGTGTCTTCCTGCAGTGTTTATACTGAAAGCAGATTCTATCAAATGCAGATCTCTAAAGACGTATAAGTGAAATCTGGCAGTCAGCTCAGTGCAGATACTGCTTTTTCTTAGTTGTGTGAAAAGTATGATCAGTCAGGGCCCTTAACCCTCCAACCAGGAAAAGGTGCACACTCAGACAACAGCAGAGCAAGCCTGATCTGTGACTGGGCCCAAGCTAGTAGATGACTGTGACTGAGATTTTTAAAGAGGCTTGAGAGGGGCTGTTTCACCGGAGTGCAGTGATATGTCCTCTTCACAACCTTCCTGCTGCAGGAAACAGATGATCAATGATCTTTTTTTATTCTACATTAGGAGGTTAGGAAAAAATCCTCAATTCAAATAAGAATTATTCCAATAAGGAAGCTGTTTCCATAACAGTTTGTTAATAAAACATTGTTCTTTTGTTATTGGACCCATCAAATGCAGTCCATTCCTATCTATATGCTGAAGCACATTTTGGCATTGTATAAAAAAAAGCTTGGAAACAAGATATTTCGTTCATGTATTTGCAGAGACAGTATCTTGCCCTCACTTTTTAAACAAGTACCCCTTTATTCTTAATGTTCAGACAGTTTAGAGAGTTATCATTTATCTTAAACTATTTTACCCATGTCAAGTTACACCTCAGTCAAGGGTGCTCAGTGAAAGTCATATATTACCTGATTCTGTGCTAGGGTGTAAATGTTCTGCAATCTTCTGTTACGCTGATTAAAGACTTAAAAGTGACATAAATCTAGCTGATCCTTTTGTAATGTGAATTATCAGGCTTTTACAATTAATGATTTCCTGCCAGCTCAAAAGAAATTCCTTATGTGACCTCTTTCCTGTTTATAAATACCATACTTTTGTAGGAAAAAAAAAAGGAGAAAAGTCATTTGGACTTAAAACAACCTACTGTATAGCTACACCATTAGGGATTGACTACTGAAGTGCAAGTATATAAATTCACTATCTTATTATCAGTTAGTTTTGCGCTAATTTGAAAAAGCCAACGTGTGTTATACAATCTACAAAATATTGTGACCCAGCTGTGCTTTTCAATAGTTTTGCTGATTATGCTTTTGATTTTAAGACTTTAAGATTTAAGTATTTTCCAGGCTTCTTGTGTTTCTGCCCATCTTCACCTCCCATCAGTCAATGTTCTTACTCCAGCTAGGTCATTTTTTTGTCAAACTGGAGTTCACACTGGAACTGGAATTTAACTGGATTTTTAATTCACAATTTAATTAGCATTTAAAAGGCACACCAACAAGAACGGATAAGGCCGTGATGGTGGGCACAGTCCAAGAAGGTTTTAAGTTTTTACTAGGTCTAAACTGTTTCTCCCCTGCAATCGTGATCAACTGTACATTCAGTGCATAAAGATTTTTAAACATTCTTCCAACATCTCTAAATGACAAGAGCTATCAAATCTTAGCCTTCATTGGATGTGCAGCCTCAAAAAAATAAGACAGAAGGAAGATCAGTATGCTGGAACAATATTTCAAGTTAGAGCTCCTTCTGCTTACTCACCTCTTTTCAGTCAGTTTTGTTATCCTTTACTATATTTGTGTTGGCAGTCTAACTGGGATGTCTGGGCTGCAGAAAAAGGCTAATTCTTTACCCCACAGTCCCCCAAATTAAGAAGAAGCTGGAAGATTTCAGTTCTCCAGAGCTAGCTAAAATGGCCGCTCTGCTGGAGCTCTTAATGGAGCAGCAGGCACTGCGTGCAAAGCTGACATGGCGGGGGAAAGCTCATGGGTTGTTGTGATAAGTGTGGGCTTAAGCATTCAGGTGTCAGCTGTTCAGGAATAATTAACTAAAACTGGTCTTGGTCAGAGGGACACAAAGGACAGAGAAAAGGGTACTGAATAGTTGTATAGCAAAACAGGAGAGTTTGAAACACTTGAGTTGCAGATCTGGAGGGCTGTTCCTGAAGCAACGGTCTGCAGCATGAGTTTTGCAGGAGGGAAAATGATCCATCATGTAAAAGTGGTTGCATTCTTAAAAAAGACAATCCCTATGTGACTTTCAAATTTGGAACAGCAGGACTGGGGCGCTATGTGAGAGGCACTGTGGCTCTGAGTGAGAGGGCACACTGAGCACATCATTCTTCCAGAGGCTGGAGCAAGCCCTTAGCATTTATTTGGATAGACTGATAAACAGCTGCACTTGAAAGAAAGCAGGAAATCTGTCATTGTTCATTTGATGGAGGGAGTGGTGCTTCATTTTTACCCACATTTTGCACAGTGACAGTTCAGCAGGGATCTGCTTTTTTAAGAGTGAGAAGATCACTGAGGGAGACTGGCAACCAGTCTTTCTTATTGTATCCTATGGTCCTCAAAAGTCCTTCATGCTGGCAGACAGCCTCACATTAGTGGGGTGAAGGAAATAGAAAAGTTCATTAAATCCAAAGTTCTTGCCTCATAAAATTGGATTAACAAACAACACTTACTACTGTACATTAATAATTAAAATTTCCTTTTCAGCTGTGATTTATTATTACTGTGGATGTGGATAAGATCAGATGTGCTTTGCGTATACCACATTTTCTCATAATGAGTGACTTTTAGTGTCATTGTGTGATGTCAACTCAGTTGGTTTTCTTTTTCTTTTACTACAGTAATTCTTATTGGGAGGTGAGACCTTCTGGCTCCTGATCCTCTCATGTTTCCTCTGATGTCTTTTAAATCTGGATTTTTTTTACAAAGCATGTCAGTTTGTTTTAAACCTTCATACTTTTTAGTGCTTAGTGGTTTGAGAGAGTGAAATTCTTGTATGACTTTTTATTCTTTATCATACTGTACCAGGGTTTTTTTCCTGAATCTGATGTTTTTGATTATATGGCAGGGCGGAGGGTATTTGCTTCAGTTCGTGCCTGCACGACGTTAAAACCAGATTTTTTAAATTTCCTTGCCAAATCTTGTGGAGTTTGATGTGATTCTGCAGGCATATACGAATGTTGTCATGATCTGGATATGTGACAAAGTGATGTCAATATAAAAAAACAGACAACACTGGACAATTGTATGTCTGATCTGGTTATATTAGATAATTAAGAATGTTTGACAACTAAAAAAAATATTTAATAATTCATGGGCTAGTCCCAAGTCATACTTCAGAATGGACTATATATGTTTTGTAGCACAGTGTGATACTGAGATGTTGAGATACGACCCATGTCACTACAAAAACATTCTCATTTTGAGCCAGCATATTTCTGCATTTTCTTTCAGATATGTCCCTGCTAGTATTTTAATACAAAATTACTACAAAATGAGATGCTTCTGACACTAACTTGAAGACATCACTTGTTTTTAACCAAGGCTCTATTGGTTGATGGACAACTCCATCATTATTTTTAAAGATAGTTCTGTTATATTTATGCACAACCAATTAAATCTTGTGTAAGTAAAATTAGGGAGCTCAAAACTTGACTTTTTCAAAATACATTATAATAATGGAACTTAGCTTTGTTAGAAAATAATTCAATTTGATGCTCAAACATTGAGCCAGATTTCTTATACAAAGATCTGGGCGGAACTGTTACAGTATTTTATTCACAGCTAGTCCAACCACACTCCTGTTTGAGAGTCCACTACGAACACTTTGCAGACATTCCTGCTTTCAGACTGGCAGAGGATGTATTACTGTCAGATCCTGTGGAGATAGCAACACCGTTAATTAAACAGTTCAGAAATTTAATATAATTGGGAAAAAGTGTTTGAAGTTTCACCATTCTCTTCATTTAACTAGTCTTTTAACTGCAGAACTGGCTCTATCCCTGTCAGAACTAAATCAGGCAGCTCGGAACATGACAAATCTCCTGACGTTGATGGTATTCCTCCTCAATATTGTCAGACATTTTGGCTGCAATTAGGTTCCTTTCTGCTTGAAATGCTGCATTCCAACATCGTGGAAGGTTTTAGTGTGATATTATTGTTGTGGTAAGACAAAGTTCCTGAACTATTTTTGGGGTTTGTCCCTTTTGCTGAAGTAGTGAGTTATTGTGTGATCATGCCAGCTGGAGCCCTGTACAACCAACAATTAGGCAGGTTTTATTAAAGAGTCCCTTGGAAATGGCAAACTTCACTGCCCCCTCCCCTTTCTACATGCAGCTATGACACTGCCTCTCCACATGCACACCAAGAAGGCTTTTGACTGTCTCAAGTAGGTTGGTTCAACTTTTATTAATAATAATAAAAAAATAAAGCTGTTATTAATTATATAGAGCCTTTTAAAAGTAGCATCACAAAGCTTTACAGTAGGTGTAAAAGGAACGAAAACAGTTATAAGGATAAGCAGTTTACAAAGTACATACCTGTAAAAGACAGAAAATCAATTGGAAGTGTAGCAGAAGTTAGAAACCTGAGCCAGCAAAGACACTAAGTACTGTAAGTAAAAGCCTTTCTGAACAGAAACATTTTGAGTCTAGATATAAACGTGCTAGGGGTAAATTATTCTCTGATATCCTTGGGGATAGAGTTACAGAGCACTGAGGAATAGCAGGAGAAGGATCTTTCACCCATTGACTGTAAATGAGCTTGAGGGACATCTACAAGGCCAGAGTCAGACAAAAAAGGTTGCCAGGTGGAGAACAGAGTCATACGTCAGACAGGTACTGAAGTGTCAAGCCATGTAGAGCCTGAGGATTTCGAAGTTGACACAAAACCTGACAGGAAACCAGTGCAAGGACTCCAAGAAAGGTGTTTTGTGATCTCTTGCACCAAACTGGTCAGGATTCTGGCTGCTGAATTCTGGACATACTGCAGTTTGTTCAGTGTGGATTTAGCTACCTCAGCAAGCAGGATGCTGCAGTAATCAGTACTAGAAAAAAACAACTAATGTGTTGACCAGCTTTTCTACAACAATCAAAGACAATATAGGAAATGTTTCTGAGACGGAAGAATGGGATATGGGATAGAATGCCATATGGGACTGGGACTAGATTTCATGAATAAAGATTTCATGAAAAAAATATTGTATGCAAACCTTTCTGAAATGTTAACCATCCTGTTTTTTAGTTTGCTTTTTATAGGGGTACTCATCAGGGAGGGCTCTACAGCCGAAACGTTGAGAAGAAACGTTCTTCTCTTTTCAGAATGGAATAAACATTTACTTGTTCCTCATCAGGGTCGTCACTTTCACCACTGTTTTTCTCCTTGTCTTTAAACTGGCTTGGGCTGTTCCTCAATTTGTATTACTGTTTGTACTCCTACTGTTCTACCAACTCCTCATTTAATATAAGATATTATAGGATATGTTTTTACTTGATTGACATGATGTTGGTGCTGTATCATAATTTGATTTTAGTTGAAAACCAGTTTACCTTTGACTGGTGAAACACTTCAGATTCCTTGGTATTGTGTGTTACTCTTTGTTACTTTCCCCCTTCATTTTCTCTGCTTTCCCTAAATAAAGGGATTTACATTCTAGCAGATGTTTTTAATGAAGATGGTGTCATGTTGGAATAGGGATTTGAATTTCAGATGAAGACATTTTCCAGAGTCATTTCTGAGATAATATTATAGAGTGTCCTTGACGCTTCTTAGATGCTATCATGTGAAACCTTTCCTTAGTCCCTTTTTTAAACTCTGGCCTTTTTACACATTTTGTAAATGGGTACTGGAAACCATCTTTTGACAATTGACAATTGACAATCTGCTTTTGACAATTGAAAAATCTTTTTTTTTCTTTTAAAAAAAATATAGTCTGCCTTGGCTAAAAACCCAGTGAAGAATGAATACATTTGTGACCTTAAATATACATTTCTGGGGGAATAGAACAGTTTCCTTGGATGAGTCAATGAACTGTGTGAGAAAGTCCACTTGTTTCTCTCCACAGATACAGGAGTGGGGCCCCTTTGACCTGGTCATCGGTGGAAGCCCATGCAATGACCTTTCCATCGTGAATCCTGCTAGGAAAGGCCTTTATGGTAGGACCGAGATTGATTTTAAATAGCTACAGTACTATGGAAATTTTATATTGCACTACATCCATGGATAAGCTTCTGTTAGCATAGCATTGCAGCTTCATGTAATTTCACTTGACAATCTTTAACTTTTAATCTTTTTGAACTGAGGATCCTATGCAGAAAATTGTAAAATCCTTTTTTATCATACTGCACTTTACTGTGGTGTTTAATGACAACACTTCACTTAGTTGTATTTGTAGTAGTACAGTATACTTCAATGCTGGAGTGTGGCTCAACTTCAGCTATTATTTTTGAAAAAGTACAGAATATATGTCAAAAAGGTGACATTTTAAGGAGATTTAGAAATATATTTTCAAACCATAGAAGGCAGTAGAAATTCCTGGTGTTATTTTTCTTCAGCTCACTCACTGCAAATTTTTAATATACTGTAGAGGTTATTTGTGTACGCTAAGTAGAGTATTTGCAAGAGGGGGATGCAGTTAATTTGTAGTATTGGATCAACGTTATACTTTTAATTCTGTAGATGTGGTGATTTGAATATTATACAATTTTATTTGCTTTTGAAATGGCATACTTTTTTTTAAGTAGGTTTGGTACTGTATTGCACACTCTTGTGGACATTAGACTAAGGATGAAGTTAATCTCTTTAGTGCACATACAGTACTGCAAGTCACTGAACTAATGTATTCTGTTTTCATAAATTAATAATTGATAATATCGTGCTTCAATATGGTTCTCTGCATTGGAAGTGACTGATGTTTAAAGCAGTGTTTGTAAATTAAAAGAATTAAACATCATGCCAGTAACAGGTTTTTGTAGTACTAAATGACATCCGTTGGTCTTAAATGTATTTAAAGGGAGAAAAATTCCTCTAAGGGGTGACGTTATCTTTTGATAGATTAGTTTTTCACTTGTCCCCTTGGATAGGTATTTAATTTTTCTTCTGTGTTCTCCATTCAGTCCCCATTCCTGAGTTTGACTGCATGGTATTTTAGGGATGTAACTGCACATTATACCTTTCCTCTTCTCAAACATGTAACTTCCGGGCCGTCTGTGTGCCAGAAATATTTGTTATGCAGTACAGTGTCATACAGTAACAGTGATTTTTCTTATATACTTACATGGCTTTTGGCTGTGTCACACTTTCCCCTTGTTACAGACAATAAACTGTTTTTGTGAGGCTACATATTTCAGGACAAAAAGAAACAACAAGAAGAACAAGAAGGATAGTTTGTGATGAATAATTTAGGAGAAATGCTTGTTTCAAGAAAAGTCTGTCTCTTCCTCTGTCTTCTAATGGCGACAACTAAGTCAGTCAGTCATTATGACCTTCAGTCTTTGAGACATTCTATTAAGATTTAAACAACTTATATGTAGTTTAATCTAATCAAAGTTCTTTTTAAAATGTAGAATCTAGCTTCTTATCTTATGTTTTCAAAAGGTAAAACATGCTTTTCTGTTATTCTAAAGCTCAGTGGTGTTACATATTGCTTTAGTAAAGCTTAGGCCTCTTCTCTTTTCCATTTTTGGCCTGGGTGTACAGTAGATCTGTTTAGAAGTAAACGAGTTTAACGGGGAAGGCTGAATGCGTGTCCTCTGTGTGTTTCCTTCTCAGAGGGAACTGGCCGTTTGTTTTTTGAGTTCTACCGGTTGCTCCATGAGGCACGCCCCAAAGAAGGAGACGACAGGCCTTTCTTCTGGCTGTTTGAGAATGTGGTGGCCATGGGTGTCAGCGACAAGCGAGATATCTCCCGCTTCCTGGAGGTGCTTCCCTCACTCTTTTGTTACAGTATATTTATTGCATTTAACACTATCAGAGCCTAAATGTAAAATAATTGGATCCTGACAGCTAAGGCTGAATAACTGAAGGCTCAGTTGTTGCATATTGACAGCACTGGTTACGTCCTAATGTATTTATTGTCATTATATAATTGGTGACATCACATTTGACAGCGCTGACGTTCTGATGTTGCTGAATTTCAAGCATTAGTTCATGCGCAAAGGCTGCCACCGTGTGGCTAAGTGGTGTACTGCTATGGATCAAACAGGATGAAGAATAGATTCTTCTTGAATTATTAGTACAGAGCATTATAACAGTAGTACTGAGATTCTTTAATATTGCTCAGATTAATGACCAGATTGATTTATGTGGAGGACTATTTAACGTGCAAGTATTTTGTACATCCTTTCTTTGTCAGCAATGTTCTAGGTCGGTTCATTTACACTGCTTTCTCCTTGCTGTCTCCATCATCCACAGTGCAACCCAGTAATGATTGATGCCAAGGAGGTCTCTGCTGCCCACCGGGCTCGTTACTTCTGGGGTAACCTTCCTGGTATGAACAGGTTGGTGAGAGAACGGTGAGGGAAGCCACTGTTGGTGTCCTGAATCCCACAGCATAACAATACAGACAGTAGACAATAGAGAAGGCTGAGGTTCCCCTCCCTCTTGCTGTCAGGCTGTGACTGGTCTCTGTCTGGCATCTCATTTTCAAAAATAGAAAGTTTACAGGAGAGAGGGGAATATTCACTTCATGTTGTTAGAAGCTTAATGAACAGGAAGCCCATCGGGGCTGTTATTCAGTAGCATCCGGAACACAGCATCCAGAAGCCTGTGCATTCTTAGTCCTGTAGTATAAAGTACCTCCCTTACTAATTCCTAAAATTAGCTGCACTTTTCGTTTACTAATGACGGACAAATTGGCAGCTATTAAAGTATCACTCAGATCTCCCTGAACGCTTCTTTATTCCAGCTCTTTAAATCGACCTGCATACTGGACGTACTGTACTTACAGTACAGACCTGGTATCATTCTAGTTACCATTTTCTGACACTTTACCTCAGTGCCAATATTTGTTAATATTGTTCAATAACTGGTAGCCAGAACTGAAAACCTTTATTTCTAATGGAGTCTCACAGTGGTGCTGCTTATGTGCAATCATCCATCGGTCTGAACACATCACTTCGGTAATACTGTACCCAGTGAGTTAAAAATACTGGTGCATGTGAGCAGACAAAGCTGTGTACAGTAGTTTGGTGCCACCCAGATCAATAAGGAGCCAAAGAAATACACTGTCACCTTGATCAAACTGTAGAAATTGGGTTAGAAAAGTGCAACCCCTGTGAAAATGCTAAGCTGTGGCTGTATATCACAAGGTAAGGATATTTGACAGAGAACAGTGGTGATCTTTTGGACTGTGCACAGCTGGCTGAATGCCATCACATTAGCTCTGGGATAAGTTGATCAGAGTCCACTTTGCTCTCAGTGCAGCAGTGACTCCTGTATCTTGCCCAGATAGCTGCAGGCTGGCAGGGGCATTACCAATAGACGCACTGCTCCTCTAGTCAGCATTATTTTTACAGTCAGCCTTCGTGCTTTAAATATATCCAACATCCAGTAAACCCTTCTCTAGGTGTGCGCACGTGGCAGGAGCATATTCACATTTCATTCTCCCCTGGGCAGGTTGAGGAGTCAGTAGCAGAGAGTTGAGAGTTAAAACAATTGGCGAACCCAAATTGTGAAGATACTGCATGTAATAAATTACCTATTTCATTGAAAAGCAGGGGCTTTAAATAGCCACTTAGGAAATTTCAGAGTACTAGAGATGTAAATATAAAACTTTATTTTACAAGTTAAGTCCATTTAAAAACAAAATCTAATTTATGATGGCTGAAGATTTAGAGAATTCTTGATATATACAGTACATACATATACAGAGAAAATGTGTTTTAAAAGGACAGATGGATATGTGCATGAGTTCTCAATAACAGTGGAAAGTGAGCAGTGGAAAACCTCCAATTTGTGTTGGTTTAAAGAACCTGTTATTAATGAACACATGAGCTAGACCACTGACTTCACTCCTGGTGTGTGTCTTCTGGCTTCCCCTTCCACCCTGAGCTCTTCGTCATTTTACGTGAATCACTTATTAGCTTATTTGCCTTATATTACCGCTGTTTCCAGGTCATTACTCACTGAGGATTATAGGTAGCCTATAAAACCTAGTGGACTCTCTGAATATATTAAATGAAACTGTCCACTTGCCTGCCAATAACAAGTCCCAAATGTTTGTCAGTTGATAGCTTTCTTTTTGCTACAGGCATCTCACCTGCCTCCATTAAAAGCTGCCAAAAAGCATTAGGTTTAAAAGTTGCATTTGATGGCTGGGTTGTCATTTGTATTATTCTTTGCCTAGTGAAACAACATCTTGGTAACATCTTGCTTTATTATAATGTTCTCCTAAAATGCCTAGCAATATTGAAAAAGTTCCTTAATAACTACAGATGAAGGCCTTAGTCAGATATAAAAAAAAGAACTTAACAACTCTGGAACCTTATAGGAAATCCTTATAGGAAACTATAATACTTTTAACTGAGCATATGAGTGCCAAACAGTCAGCACTTAATTAAAAAAATTAATACATTCAAAAGATTTTTGGCTTATACAGTATAACTAAAACCGTTCCTGTCATGCAAGTCAAATTCCTCAGACAGATGAAAAAATGTGGTCGATCTTCAGCTGTCCTTACCACATTTTACAGGTGCACTATAGAGAGTGTGCTCACGTGTGGTATTACAGTGTGGTTTGGCAGCAGCTAGTTGTCTGACCGGAAGTACAGGGGGTGGTCAGGTCAGCCCAGTCCGTCATTGGAGTACAGCTGCCCTCAATATCAGATATTTTTACTGCTCGCTGCCTCAGGAAGGCTGGAAGTATCGCTAAGGATACCAGTCATCCTGGTTTCTCATTTTTCTCCCTCCTTCCATCTGGTAAGCATTATAGGAGCATAAAGGCACAAAAGTCCAGATTCAGAGACAGTTTCTTCCCACAAGATGTCAGATTACTGAACTCTACCCCTACCACTGGCTCACACTGATGTTTTCTTTTTCTAAAATGTATGATATTTAACTTGTTGTTGCTGCTGCTGTTCTGTGTCTATGTTGTTGGTGTTTCCTTAATGTCTTTGTATTGGAGCATAGATGCAAATAAGCATTTCATTGCACTTGTGCAAATGACTATAAAACTGAACTGAACTGAAGAACATTATTGAAAGCACATGTATACTTATAATTTCTTATTTAAAATGTATTTCACAAAAGGTTGGTCAGAAGATCATCCTGTTATTTCGTAAAGCAACTTGCAGTCAGCTCACTCTTGCTAAAGCAAGGAACTGCAAAGTATATCCTAGCAGACAGGGCTTACTGAGGTAGGGGAAGCAGCTCCTCCTTATTCCACAGTGATCTAAAGATTTAAAGATTTAAAATCAATTACCTGAACACAGTAAGTCCCCAAACCTCTTTTCTAAAGAGCATAATGCAAGAGTGTCAAATCACAGTTGCAAATCTTGCAAAAAGATTCACAGTTCTGTAGGACATGTTGAAATCATTATCCATGAAATCTCTGGCATTTCAACAGTGTCTACCAGGTGGGTTTGTCCAAAAACCTTGGTCACATCATTACCGGAGTAGAGATCAGCAAAGAGAAGCTGGATCTCTTTAAAACTGATGCAACACTGCTGTTACTGGTTATTGGTGGTGTTACATGGGTTGATACCCAGAATTCCAGACTTTTTTTTCAAAGTAGTGGAAGTAGTACATTGAGTAAATTCTGCACTGTGTCTAGGCCTAGGAAGATTATGATCAGAAATTTGTGGAAACCAGAAGGGTGTACTGCTAATTGATTATATGCCATATAACTACACTTGCTGGTCAATAGTCTTATGACTCGCTGGCCAGAGTGTTAGTCTGCAAACAAAAACACTAGGGGATGTTGAGATGTGGTGTTCTGCTGATGCAAAATGTGCGTTATTTCACAAGGCATCTGTCCAAGAGTGTGACTTTTAAATGTTGGGTCAACCGCCCTATTGCCTAGAAAATGGCTGATGCCTTAGTTTCTAAAATCTGTGGTCTTTAGTACAAGGTTTCAAGATGGTAAGTCCCCCTTTGATAAGTGGTAAGACGATCGGAGAAAACTTCTGTTTTTAGGGAATTATTATTTTGAAGGAGGAACAGGTAAGGTATGTTGAGATAATGCATTGAGCAGTAAAAGTGGTTTTCGTTATCTTGTTTCTATGTACCTGAGTTGCAAAACATTATGAAAGCCTTGCACACCTTATATAAGGATTGCTTATTATATATTTTCTCATTTAAAGTTATATTTTGCAGTCATGGTGGGTGGCTCTGTGTTTTTTTATTTTAGTTATTTAACACTTATGATTTCCTTCTATGGTCACAACAGTAGATTTTTTAAATCCCAAGCTACAAACATTTCTTCAAAGTAACCTCGCAGCAGAGCATTCCATGCAAGAGGTTAAATTGGGGGAGAGGGGGATCGGTTGTACTGTAGGTCCGTGAAGAGAGCTCAAGTCGTTTCCCTCCCTGTGTCCTGTCTTCCTGTGTGCAGACCTCTGGCGGCCATGACCAATGACAAGCTGGATCTGCAGGACTGTCTGGAGCATGGTCGGACAGCCAAGGTGAGCCCAGGAGCACTCGGCAGCGTGTGTGGAACCTGTGACATCCTTGTAATTTGCTCATCCATCATGCTTATGCTAATGCCTATGCTTATGCTCTTGTGCAAGTAAGAGATGTAATGTGAGCCAGGTCAGAACAAATTCAATCACCAAGTGTCTAGACCATTTATGTTCATCTTCTCTGAAAAAAAAGCCTTTTTTTCCTGATTTTCTGTATTCTGCAAATATGTCTGAAACACACGGGACCCTATCCAGCTAGTATCTTAAATTTGTACCTCATAGAGAAGCAGATATGAGCTGTCAGCAGATTCTCTCTGAAGTGTGCTTTCTAATATACAGTACATCTACTGGTTCTTAACCATTGGTTAAGTACACGCACTATTCTTGCAAATTAACCGCATTTGCACCAAAGAGTTTTTAGCACAAAAGGATTTTCTTATCCTTGACATGAAATATATACTGTACACCATGGTAAGGGGACTGGAGACATAATTCTAGTCTTGTAGAAGACACACATAATTCAAAACTGCCATACAGTAGGGGGTGAAGCGTTTACAGACATAGTGTAGAAAGGGACAGCATTAAAAATTGTGAGAATGTTGTCTTTGAAATAATGAAATGTATGAAATTATGTAACGTCAGGTTTTCCAGAAGCTTTGCTGAGACTCTGTTTTGGTTCCATTTGTTTTGAGGCTCTCTTCAGGTGCTACTGACAGCCTTGCTCTTTCTTGCTGTGCAGCTCCATTGATGGTCTAGCCCTGACAGCTGAGTCTTAGACCACACACTGAGAGCAGTGCAGGGCTAAGAGCATTATTAACCCCTCCATACAGACTCGGTTCACATCATGGGTTAGAAAAATCCTACAATAAAATTAACAGTGAGGTTTAATGCATTTTAGTCCTCAGTAATTAACACTTTACTCCTGTACTTGTTCTGTGCAGAGTCTCAGTTTGGAAGGGACATGCTTGTTTTACTAACCTGCCTGATCACTAGAGGTCTTGTCAGAATCTTTATTTTTAAATGGATTTGTGTTCATTGATAGAAGAAAATATTAAAAAGACAAAGGAAAATGTGAATGTAAGTGGTGAAATGAAGACAAGAAAGCACACTTCAGGGAATTATCTCTGAAAACATAGAAAGTTTCTTGACTAAATATATAGATTACACAGATGTCATTGTCAGATGCCAACATGTTTAATTAATCACTGTTTGGCATCACTTGGACAGGTTAGAAGTAAAATCTTGTCTTTCATTGTGAAGGGTACACATTAGGTTAATAAAATATCTGTGTGTCTGATTTGGTATCCATGAGAGTCTTCTTTAAGTTGCATGTACAGATTGCCTTCTAAAATCTTATAGTTAAAACACCTCAGTATTGTCTTGGGGCTTAAATGAGCCAAGACCTTAAAAGATAAGAAAACAAATTTTAAAAGGTAATAATGACAAATCTCTATCATCAGAGAATACCACTTTTGTTTTTGTTTCTAAGACGAGCAAGATCTAAGATGAAAACATATTTAATTACACCTACTGCATGAACAGAAAAACCCCAGCATACAATGTCTATTACCATTAAGTACAGTTATTTGCAATAACAGTGAGTACCTAGCCACAGCCTTCCACAGAACCAAGAAACAGATTACAGATTGTGCCCTGTAATTTAGGCACGATTTATGCCAGAAAGGGACTGCTTCTTATCAACTAGGAGATCCTACTCAGGACAAAATAACTGTCTGAACCGATACTAACCAAAGGACTGATTTTGATTGCTGATCTCCACTCTTTTACCCTTTGTCAAATAGTGCATTAAAATACTGTACAAGTCAATTATTTATTTTACCTGGTAGATACAGTATCTTGATCACAAAAAGGAAATATTCCCACATCTTTAAAACAGCAGCTCCTTTCCTAAATTCTGAGATGACCAGAAAGAGTTCTGACCTGTTAAGGCTGAAGTCTGCTCACAGTGCAATTCCTTCATCCGTAGGTACAGTAGATGAAAGAGAGTAAGCCTATAGAGTCTTATTTTTTCCTGTAGTGGGACCCACCTTTCTACTCTACCATCCACTGACCTCCCTAGAATGATGTGGTCATTTTCTAAATGTTTCTAAAAGCCTGCCTGTTCACCTAGCCTCTGGCCACTGTGGCTGTCACAACAGTCAGTCTAACACTCCAGAAAATGCATATGATTTAAAAATGAGAAATATTGCAAATTGGTAACAATTTATAAAGCTGGGTTTGTTTCAGTAATCTGAGCTCCAAATGCTTGCTCCAAGGCACAACAAAAGGGATCTACCTGGAATATGAACCCACAATCTTACTGTGTATACTGTAGATACAGTACGAGTCTAGAGTTCTACCTGATATGCCACACTGCTGCAGGATCTTGGTTTGCTTGCTCGGTGTCATGGTAACATTGTAGTAATACAGTGCCAAAAGAACAACCTGACTTGCTGTAAATGCAACACTGGAAGGAAAACATGGAACAATTAATCAAATTAAAGACCTTCACAATGTTGACAAGCTTTTATGCAGCAAAGCAGTAGAGCTCTGCCTTCACTGTTAGAGATCTCTTGTGCAGACATCCTTGGCTTGCCGAGGAGGCACTGCCCATTCAGTCCATTGTGAAAGCCAGACCTTTTTGTTCATTTTAAAGCACTGGTTTTTCTTTCAGTTCAGCAAAGTGAGAACCATCACCACTCGGTCTAATTCTATCAAGCAGGGCAAAGACCAGCACTTCCCCGTCTACATGAATGAAAAGGAGGACATTCTGTGGTGCACTGAGATGGAAAGGTAAGACATCTCAGAGTCTCAGAGTCTCTTCTGCCTTGTTTCTGGCAGAGCTGTAGTTGATGTGCTGCATGTGAGAAGATGCTTTTGTTACTCTGTTGCAGTATTTTTTATTATTATGAACGTTCCAGTAGTGAAGGAGGTGAGGCTTGCAGCTTCATAAAAAAGAAGCATGTCCAATAGTAAATCTTCCCATCACATGATCATTCAAGTAAAACATCTGGTGAAATATCACCCCGTGCTGTACAGATGCAGCCATTCAAAATGCACGGTACAAACCCACGGTACGGGAAAGCCACTGAAGGGCACCACAGTAAGTGATTGGCTGGCTAAAATGACC